TCAAACTTCTTCTTTCCCTCCCTCCACACCCTCCTGCCTGCCTTCACAATTTTCTTCCTTCTCTCTCCCCCTCCTTCCTTTTCAAACTTCTTCTTTCCCTCCCTCCACACCCTCCTGCCTGCCTTCACAATTTTCTTCCTTCTCTCTCCCCCTCCTTCCTTTTCAAACTTCTTCTTTCCCTCCCTCCACACCCTCCTGCCTGCCTTCCCTTCCTCCTGCCTTCCTTCTCAACTTTCTTCCTTCCTTCCCTCCTGCCTTCCTTCCTTTTCAAACTTCTTTCATTCCTTTCTTCCTTCCCTCCCTGCCTCCCTTTTCAAATCCCCACTTCTCCTGCCTTGTGCTGTTGGGCGGGAGAAGCCAGAGGGGGGAAAAAGCAACAGCTTTAAGCCATCATCATCTTGGATCTCCGCCAACCTGGCTTGTTTCGAGAGTTATTGCCGTGTTTCAACCCGAACCCACACAGACCCATCCTGGCCTGTGGTCGTTTCATGCTCTCTGCTTTTGAAAGGACATAAAAGTTTTGTCTCCCCCCCCCCCCTTAATTTCCATTTTATGAATAACTCGAGGCCTTGAACACGCCCAACTCAGCTTCCTCCTCCTTTTCCCCTCCATCACAACAACCCTGCGAGGTGGACCCGCCCTCTTAATTCCACCCCCTCCCCCGGGTCGGATTTCTTGGCAGGGTTTTTCAAAACCTCTCTCTTCTCTTCCCCCGCAGAACCAGTACAGCTTGACAAGAGCCCAGCAATCCTACAAATCCCTCGTCCAGATCCACGAGAAGAACGGTAAGGCCCAGCTCCACAACTGTCACGGGGACGGTCGTACGTCGAGGACCACATGTATCCCCCCAAAAAAACCCACCCCTTAGTCAGAAATTTCCTGACAGTGAGAACAATTACTCAGTGGGACAACTTGCCTCCAGAAGTTGTGAATGCTCCAACACCGGAGGTTTTTAAGAAGAGGTTGGATAACCATTTGTCTGAAGTGCTGTAGGGTTTCCTGCCTGAGCAGGGGGTTGGACTAGAAGACCTCCAAGGATCCCTTCCAACTCTTATTCTATTCTATACTATTCTATATCTCCAAGGTCTCTTCCAGCCCTGTGATTCTGTGATCTTGGGCAGAGGTCGGACTAGAAGACCTCCAAGGTCCCTTCCAACTCTGTTATTCTGGTTTCCTTCTTTCCTTCCTTCCTCCTTTTCCTTCCTTCCTTCCTTCCTTCCTTCCTTCCTTCCTTCCTTCCTTCTTTCCTTCCTGAGCAGGGGGTTGGTCTAGAAGGCCTCCAAGGTCCTTTCCAACTCTGTTATTCTGGTTTCCTTCCTTCCTCCTTTTCCTTCCTTCCTTCCTTCCTTCCTTCCTTCCTTCCTTCCTTCCTTCCTTCCTTCCTTCCTTCCTTCCTTCCTTCATTCTTTCAGTTTTTAAAGAAGTGGACAACCATTTGTCTGAAGTGGTGTAGGGTTTCCTGACCAAGCGGGATTGGACTAGAAGATCTCCCAGGGTCCCTTCCAAGTCTTATTCTATCCTATCCTATTCTATGTCTCCAAGGTCTCTTCCAGCCCTGTGATTCTGTGATCTTGGGCAGAGGTTGGACTAGAAGACCTCCAAGGTCCCTTCCAACTCTGTTATTCTGGTTTCCTTCCTTCCTTCCTTCCTTCCTTCCTTCCTTCCTTCCTTCCTTCAGTTTTTAAAGAAGTGACTGAAACAACTTTTTTTCTGAAACGGTATAGGGTTTCCTGACCAAGCATGGGGTTGGACTAGAAGACCTCCAAGGTCCCTTCCAACCCCACGAGCCTATAATCTTGTGCAAGGGTTGGGCTAGATTCACTAGAATACCTCTACGTCCCTTGCAGCCCCGGGACTCTATGATCGTGGGCAAGGGTGTGTGTGTTGGGGTTGGACTAGAAGGCCTCCCGGGCTCCCTTCCAACTGTGCTTATTCTATCTCCGGCCACGTCGGCCTTTTTCCTAAAGCCCTCTTTTCTTTCGCTCCCTCCTTTCCCAGGCTGGTACACGCCCCCCAAGGAAGACGGATAGCCACGGCGCCCGACGGAACCGGACTCCACCTCCTCTTCCTCCTCCTTCGCACCCCATCCCGCTCCGGACCCCCCTCCTCCTCGCTGGACGCTGCTGCGCAAGGACATTTTTTGTTCCCCCTCCCTCGGACTCCTTCGCCAGCTCGGTGGCAGAGCTGCACCGATCGCCCGTGGGGGGGCGGGCTCCTTATAAACAATCGTCGTGAGCAGCCCCCCCCCCCCATTCTTGGACCCTCGCTGGCCGGCGATCGGCTCCCCCCTCCTCCTCGCTCTTATTAAACAGGGGGGAGGGAAGAATGGAAAAAAAAAAAAACACACACACACAGACACGCAAACCCACACGCACCTAAAATGAAATTTTTTTTTCTCTTCTCTTTTCTTCTGCCCGGAAGCTTCTGCAGTTTTTCTGCTGTAGTTCTAAGAAAACACACCGGGGATAAAAAAGAAAGAAATATGGGCCTCTTCCTTCCGCGCTGGATTTAATTTATTTTCTTATTTTCATGTACACCACTTTCTCCCCCTCCTCCTCCTCTTCTCCTCCCCCTGCCTCCCCTTCCTTCCTTCCTTCCTTCCTTCCTTCCTTCCTTCCTTCCTTCCTTCCTTCCTTCCTTATTTTTCATTTCTTCTTTTTTTTGGTTACAGTGTATGATGGATGTCTATGGGGAAAAAACACAAATATGTATCTTTGGAGAACAATTACATTTGTTAATTTCAAGGGGGTGGTCTGGCTGTCCCTCTGTCCGGGGGTGGGTGGGTGGAGGAAGCGGGGCGAGGACGGCGGGTTCTGGGAGCGTCGTCGTCGTCGCAGGAAAATAACCCAAGCGATAAATTTTTATCTTCCGCCAGTTTCTTGGCTGGGAAAAAGAGAAAAAAATATTGCCCGAAATGTAAACGCTTCCAATTTCAGCAGAGAACTCTCTTATTTTGCGACTCTTGCCAAGGATTTTGTTTTTCCCCCTTCCATGGGATGTTTTATGAGTGGTCCTCGCTTAAGGACGCCAAGAGAGCCTGGGATTTTGGAGGGTGAGCCGTTGCAGTCCTTAAGCAAGTGNCCAGGAGGCCTATCCGGCGGTGCCCCCCATCTGGTCGGTGGAATCCGACGACCCCAATCTGGCTGCGGTTTTGGAGCGGCTGGCCGACGTAAAGAAGGGCAGCACGTTGGTAAGTGAGCAGGGGGGGTGGCATTTGGGGGTGGGGGGGCATAAGTCTGGCTGGGGAAGGGGGAGGGTCTCCGCTGGATTTAACCCCCTCCGTCTACCCCCTCCGGCAGCTCCTGCAGCACCTGAAACGCATCATTTCTGACCTCTGCAAACTCTATAACCTTCCTCAGCATCCAGATGTGGAGATGCTGGACCAGCCCTTACCTGCTGAACAGGTGAGTCTTCCCCCCCTCCCAATCCCCAAAGCCTCCCCCCATCTTAAAGCCAAGCTGGGAAGGGTCTTTGGCTCAGGATTTCAGCCATTCATCTCCGCAGCACACAGAGATAGTCCTCGATTCGTTTAGCGACCGTCCAAAGTCACAACAGCACTGGGAAAAAGTGACTTGACTTGTTTTTCACGCTTAACGACGGTTAGAGCCATCCCCGTATGCTTGGCAACCGGCTCGTATTTACGGCGGCGGTTGTGCCCCCGGGGTCACGTTGATCCCCTTTAGCGACTTTCCGACAAGCAGCCGGATTCGCTTAACGCCCCCCCGTCGCTAATTGAACTGCAGCGATCCCCTTAACGACCATGGCGAGAAAGGTTGCAAAATGGGACCCCCCAAAAAATTTTCTCTTTTAACGGTCTCGCTTAGCGATGGGAATGTCAAGCCGTAATTCGGAGGACGGCCCGGGAGATCGTCCCGTGGGGGGCCTTGAATTGGCAGGGAGATCCTGGCGGCTGAGCTTGAATCCATGGATCCCGTTGGGAGACCAATTTTCAAGAGATCTGCCGGAATGGGGATCCCTTCCTCCAGTTGCAGCTCTGAAATTTTTTCCATTTCTCCGTAGAGTACGCAGGAAGAAGTGTCCTCGGAAGAGGAAGACGAGGAAATGCCCGAGGTATCCGCTCCGTTTATGACCTTCATCCCTCCCCCCCGAGATTCAAGGGTTTCCCCCAAATTTATCTCTATTTTATTTCTGTGTTTAGAAATATTAGCCACCCATCGTGCGTGCGTGTGCATATGTGTTTATGGTTATATATTATTGTCTTTTGAGAGCAGACCCAAGAATTTCATTTGTTAATTTGTGCCAAAGTGTTGGCAGGAAAGAAAAGTGTCAATCAAGGTTAATTTATCATCTATCTATCTATCTATCTATCTATCTATCTATCTATCTATATCTGTCTGCTGAGTGTATGTGTGTATCTATCTCTATATCTCATATTTGTCTGCCTGTCTATATCTTTCTGTCTATACCTATTTTCTCTAACATTATTTCCTAATCTATATCTGTCTTATCTAACTCTTCTCTGCCTATCTGTCTATCTAATAATCTCTATATCTATCCTCTATCTCTCTGTGTGTGTACCTACCTACCTATCATATCTATCTATCTATCTATCTATCTATCTATCTATCTATCTATCTATCTATCTATCTACATAACCTATCTATATCATCTGTCTGCCTATCTATCTATCTATCTATCTATCTAATCATCACTATACCTATCTATCATCCCTATATCTATAATCTATCTATCCATCTATCTATCATCTATCTATCCATCTCTTTGTTTGTGTATCTACCTACCTACCTATCATATCAATCAATCTATTTATTTATCTTTCTCTCTATCTATCTATCCATCTCTGTGTGTATCTACTACCTACCTATCATATCAATCCATCCATCCATCCATCTATCTATATATCTATCTATCTACATAACCTATCTATATCATCTGTCTGTCTATCTATCCATCCTCTATCATTCTTTCCTAATCTATATCTATCTGTCTATCTAGACTGTATCTATCTCTGTCTTCTGTCTGTGTCTCTTATCTATCTATCTTCCAGTTATCTCTATCAATCAACCTTTCCCCCCAGAAAATAAGACCTATCTGGGAAATAAATCTTAACATGATTTTTAAGGATGCTCGTAATATGAGCCCTACCCTCATAATAAGCCCCAGTTAAGGTTGCCAGCCAGATGGATGCATTCAGTACCATGTTTTCCCCAAAACAAGGCCTGAATGGGGAAAAAAGCCTCTTTTGGAGCAAAAATTAATATAAGACCCGGTCTTATTTTCAGGGAAACTGAATCCCTGAGTCCCCTTCGGGGGAAAAGGGCAGCATATAAATATAATAAAATCAATCAATCAATCAATCTGTCTGCCTATCATCTTGCCCCAGGGGTGACTGAGGGAGGGGAGGCTTGCAATGTTAAAAACCCAGCCTACTTTGAGCCAATCCTCCCACTGGAAGGGCTGACTCCCACCTTCCCTTTTCTCTCTCTCTCTCTCTCTCTCTCTCTCTTTCCCCTCCCGTCCTCGCACCCAGGACACGGAGGAGCTGGACCACTACGAAATGAAGGAGGAAGAGCCGGTGGAAGGGAAGAAGGCGGAGGACGACGGGATCGGCAAGGAGAACTTGGCTATTCTTGAGAAAATCAAAAAGAATCAGAGGCAAGATTACTTAAATGTACGTGTCGCCTTGGGGGGGGCGGGGGGGAGATCAGTGGGGGGGACATTAAGGGGAAGGAGGGAGGGAGTAGGCAGGACTCAATCTTGGGCATTCTGACACTTCCCTGTTGCACTGTGGGTAGTCCTCGGCTTATGACCATTCGTTTAGTGTCTGATCCAGCAGCCCTGGAAATGACTTAAAATTTGTCCTCCCGCTTAACGACTGGCCCTTGGAGGCCATGAAATGACCTCAGGGACCCCCACCCCCACAAGTCTCCCTTCCTGCTCCTTCCTTGAACTGCCACTTTGGGGGGGCACTAAATGACCTCTGGGAGCACCCTTCCAATCGACCCCACGGGGATGATCCACAGCCCGCTCCTCTTTCTCCCCCCCTCTCAGGGAGCAGTGTCTGGCTCTGTGCAGGCCACTGACCGGCTGATGAAGGAACTCAGGGACATTTACCGATCGGCAAGTTTCAAAGGTGGTGAGTATCGGGGGGGGCAGAGAGGAGGGGAGGGGGACTCCCTCGCTTGGGGGGGAGAGGGCGTCTTCGGCCTGCCCCTTAAGCTCTCTTTCTTTGGCCCCCTCCCCAGGAAACTATGCAGTTGAACTCATGAACGACAGCCTCTACGACTGGAATGTGAAACTCCTGAAGTAAGTTCCTTATCTCGCTTCGTTTGTTCGCTCTATATGCCCATCCGTTGCCGGGTGAAAGCAACTCTGGGAGGCTCCTTACCGAGCGATAAATCCGCAGCAACCCTGAAAATAAGAGAGAACAAACACTGGTTGTCCTCGACGTACAATGGTCCATTTAGTGACTGTTCCTGAAAATGGACATTAAGTAGAGACCGCCAGAAGTCCTTAACTTACAATGATCCATTTAGTGACTGTTTGAAGCTATAACGGCATTGAAAAAAAGGGACATGTCCTTTTTTTTCACACGTAACGACAGTGGCAGCATCCCTCATGATCCAAAATCAGACAGCCGGCAGCTGGCTCGTGTCTTATGACGGTTGCGGCGTCCCCGTGATCCCCTCTCGCGACCGCCTTGACGAACAAAATCAGTGGGGAAGGCAGGCTCGGTTAACAACCCGGGGGACTAATTTAACAGCTGCAGCCATTCACTTAGTCACCACGTGGCTAGAAAGGTCGTAAAGTGGGAAAAAAACTCACTCCACGACTGTCTCACTTAGCAACTGAAGCAATTAGCAATTCCGGACTCGTTCCGTTCAACCGTTTTTCTCCCCCCCAGAGTGGACGAGGATAGCGCCTTGCACAGTGACCTTCAGATCCTGAAAGAGAAAGAAGGGGTGGATTTCATTCTCCTCAACTTCACGTTTAAGGTCAGTCCGGACGGACAGATGGAGGGTGCGAAGGGAAGCAGCACCCCTTCTTGCTAAATTCACCACCACCCCCGCCCTTCTCGTTGCAGGATAACTTCCCTTTTGACCCCCCCTTCGTACGAGTGGTGTCGCCTGTGCTCTCCGGAGGGTGAGTCTCTCCCGTTGACCTCCTGTCACCGGGAGGCTGGGAGTTCTAGTCCTGCCTGTCGGCGTGAAAAACCAGCTGGGTAATTTCGGGCCAGGTCCTCTCCCAGCCCAGCCCCCTTCCCAGGGTTGTTCGTTCACAGAAGAGGAAGATTAAGTACGTTGAATGACTTAGGGAGGCGAGGTGGCGCAGTGGTTAGGGTGCAG